GGCCGGGTCGGAGGGCTCCAGGGCGCGCTTGGGCCGCGTTGTCCAGCTCTTCTTCACAGTTACGCTTCCAGGGGTTGGGGCTTAAGAGAGACACCCGATACCAAGAGACTTGAAAAAAATTTAATGAGCTACTAACGCTGAACAATGAGTACTAGTCTAAAAACTGTTCCCACATCCTACTTAAAATATTTACAATTGTGTTAGCGGTATGTACATTGTAATCTTCACCCCTTATCTAGTTATAGATGAGTTCCTTAGGAATTACTCCTTTGGTATTTGGAAGATGAGCTGTACAATATTATTGTAAGAGCTAGTACTAGAAAGTGTGCAATACACTATGCGAGTTGTTAACAGCCATGAGGCATTGATCATCAAACCTTGAGGCTGTGCAACTCGATGCGCGATGCAAACAGCATGTTCAGCATCAGCTCTGCACTAAAACTTCTCTACCTTAGAAATGTTTAGAGGTGCAGCTCTGTAGAATAAGTATACTGCATTGTACAATTCACCCATATCTGGGAAAAAAAAAATACCCCGTCAGGCAGTACAGGAGAGCCTGTAATCACAGAGACCAAGTTATTTTGCTCTTAATCTCCAAACATAAAACCCCATTCATCCATATTGCTGCCGCTCTATCAAAGGTCTCCAAAGTCATATAAAGCAGCAGTCCCACTGTCAAGAACAATTCATCAAGTAAAGCCTAATTTTATGACATTCTGAAATTACACAACAGAAGAGAACAGCAGCTCTTGGAAAAGGTTCATGGTTCCAGTTAAGTGAGACAAAGCAACGTACAAACAAAAGACCAAGGATTCAAGCTACGTTAAAAATTCATAGCTCCAAATTTTAAGTCCAGTTAGCAGAACGAGTTTTTTCAGACATTCCTTTAGTTTTTACTGTTCGAAGCAAAGCTTCTTTTCTGTATCAAAGAAGGAGCAATATTCCCTTGCCTTGACACACTTTCTGCTACTCTGGAAAGAAATAAAGAAGTTCCCTTAAAAGCATTTCTCCCCAAAAAATTGCAAAGGCAGCCAAGCTCAAAACAATTTAAGTACACTGGATAGGGAAGTCATGGACCAACAGATAGGCAAATGGCTAAACCTGAGAGTGCAAGTGACTGGGTAATTAGTGTCAGGCCAATCCAGCACTTACCAATGGTTTTACAGGATGAGTAGAGAAAATGCTGATTAATGTCATTTACTAGAAAATATTAAGCTTACAGATGATACAGTGTCTGCATAATTTTAGAAAAATCATTGATTTCATGGTTTATTTTACAATAATTGGATTAGTCTACAAGTTAAGGCAAACATACTAATGCATTTGCTTTTCTTTTTAAAATCATAGTTATAAACGTTACACAAAGTTCTCCAAAATTTCTAAGAAATGTTCACAATTGAAAAAAAAAAGATTAAATTTCTTGATATCAGGACATGGGAAAAACTAAGACAGGGTATACAATGCATTATAGTAACAATATTGAAATATCTAATGGTAATATTTAATCCATTTGAACAAAGTATTTCAAATGGCCAACTTCAGAAATTACTTACAAAGGTAAATAAGATTGGCAGCCATATCATACTATTCATAACATGAACATAATTATATTGGCTACTTTCACAAAAACAGAGCGTTTGGTTTCTGAAGAATGAAAGCATATAATGATTAAATAAACATGAATATGTATGTATAACAAGTATGTAGTTGCTTCATATAGTCTGGAGCTACTTTCAGATTTTGTTTTTTAATTGTTTTGAAAGGATGAGCTTGCTTATGTGCACTTTGTCAAATGATTTCTCCAGGGAACTGTAAATGCCTATTTAAAGTCATGAAAACAAAAATCCAGAGGAGGGCAGCCCTTGTTAGTGGGAGGACGGAGCGTTGCTTATGTGTCACCATTTAACACTGCCAGGCAGCTCTGCAGCAGCTGTAAGTTACCCTGTAAAAATAGAGAAAAGTATGACCACATTTCCCTACTTTCTTTTTCCATTTTAGTAAAAAGATCTTTTTAAATAGCAATGACATTCACCAGTAAAGGAGAACAGGTATATATATTAAAAATATGCCGAACCATTTACGTAAGTAACTTATCTTCAAAATTGTTTGAATGTATTAACATTGTGTCAGGGAACTAAAAAAAGCCAACTTGAGATTCAAAAAATAAGCATTTACTACCCTTTCCATGTTTCTTCACAAATTTCTTACCAAGGAGCTATTGTGGCCACAAAAAATACTTACTGCAGAGAATTCTTTTAGCAATGAAGGGCAAAGTTTTACCATTTTATTTTTTTGTACAGATTAATAGCAATACTATCATTGAAATATTATTCCCGTAGTAGTATTCATACACTCAAGGAACACTGAATTCATTAAGAAGTGTTAGCCATTTCTCAGCACTATCTCCTGCTTAAAGCACCCACTTAAGCTTGCAGCTCTGTTTTAAAGACACAAAAATGTCTTCTTTGCACAGACTGTTTTATATGCTTAGCCGTGTGATTTAGCCAACAGTAAAACTATCAGTGTTTAAGAGCCAGAGCAACACAAGTGACCATCAGAACATTAACCTGATTTTGTATGTAAGGCCTTTGTATGTAAGGCCAAGTTCTGCCCTTCATTTCACAAAAACGTGAAGATCTTGTAGGTCAATTTTTAAATCATAATCACAGCATTCTGACTATCATATAGCATATAGGTTGACTTTCAGATTTCTGACTGAATTTACAGAACTGATAGTTCTAAAGATACCCTTCCGAATTAAGCAAATACGGTCTACAACTAAAAACTAGATACAGAAAGCCAGGAGTTACTTTCCAGAACAAACAGTATTTACATTGTTTTGTGCATTCATTTATGCTTAGATCACTTTAAACTACTGGCTATTCACTAATAAAGAACTATTGGATTTGTTCCCAAATCTGAGGTTTCTGTGTAAGAAATAGAATGTTAGGTTATTAAGAGTGTTACAGTAAATAAAATGCAAGAACAAAAAATAAAATAAAATGAAAGAACAAAATGCTCTGAATGCCCAGTTATAAACATGGGAGAAACTGCTTCCTTCTAGTAAATCTTTCGTTAAAAAAAAAAAAAAAAACACTGAAGAAGGCTCCAAACAAAATTTCATGTAATTAAGCAGTATCTGTAGCTATGGTTTGCATGTCCTTGGTAAACAGTCTACACAACTAGTAAAGAATTTGTAATTCTCACTGTTTCACTTGAAAGCATACAAAGTGACCCACAGTACATAGAGGGGAGGACAGCAACAATCCAAATTAAGCAATTAACTAAGTTCAAGGCTTCCCTAGTTTGCATATGTCTACTGAATCCTCTTCAGCCTTCTCCAGAAGACCACTATTTCCATTAAGGCTTCAACAGCTTTTTGTCTTCTTATGCCTATGCTAGCAAAGTACAATCACAAGCTACCTCAGAGGGTTCATAGTTCTGTGATAGGAACAAGTTCTGTGTGTGCAAGATGCATGGAGACTTGGTGGCCTGTCTCATCGTAGTGTACAGAAGGATTCATAAATCTAAGGTCTACTTTACTGTAACAGCTTATTATTAACTACTAATGAGGTCAGGGATGAAATAGAATATTTTTTCAGCCTGAAGTATGACTGTGGACCGCATGCATGTTACTTATGATGAAAGCGTGCCAGTTATCTTTTGCTTCTTTTCAGCTTATAAGCATGAATTATATTTGCAGTTTACAGGCCACTATGTAACACTATGTAAAGAAAAGAGGGTATGAAGAGGCCATTTAACAGCAGTCATTTCCAGACTCAGTGAGCCAGTCAACTGAAATTTTACAGAGATTCAGCTTCATTAAGTTTACAAAGTTCACAGAAACAACCTTATTTAAATTATAATAAACTAAAGGACAATAGAGGCTGTGAGCCATGGCTCTGGCTGCTACATTTGACATACTTGGGCTTATTCCAGCACATCCAGCATCGCTCTAGAATGTCCTATACTTTCCAATCAGCCAAAAAGTGTTTCTTGTCAACTCATAGATTACTAAGCCTTAGTTAATGGCAGAATAATGGTAACAAAAACATCTTTTTCAGGGAAGACAGAACTACTGGCAAAGCATTTAATGAAAACCCTTAGCTTCGAGTTTTGGTTCCTCCCCTTCTTCTGCCAATTCAAAATAGAAATTTGTTGCCAGTAAGGCAGCAAATTCTTCTTCCACTGGAACTCTCAGAGGCAAGAATTTATATTAATATTCATAGAAAAACATGTTTAGTTTTTTTTAAATGGAGACTGCTATCTTATTCAGTTAAAATTCCGCATGTCAAACCACTCTAAACGCGTAGCCAGGGCTCTAAATGCTTTAAGTATAAGAATACTTCTAACACTTTATATACTTCCTTCTGCCCTACAAAACAGAGTAATGTTTACAGTAACGTATCTGAACGCTACCATTTATAAGTACCTCTACTTCACAGAATTAACTTGAATCACTGGGCTGTCTCGAGAAAATTCACGAGAAATTCATGAAATTCGGTTGTTAAGTAGTAGTAAGAGATGACTAGGGAATAAAACTGTGGTATTATCACCATTTGTAGAGGACAGCAATAATCTGTTTTAAGGACAAGTCGGTGTCTTCTCCCATTTCACACAGACAACTAACTGCTAAGTCAAGATTCAGTAATTCATTATATTTGCTTGTAACCTTAGCAGCTGCCCCCAGTTTCAAACCGTCAACAACCCTTTCTCTTCTTAAACATGAAGTCCAATACAGGATCACCTCAAAAATCTAACGGTTTAAAAAACTGAATGGGTTTAAGTGCAGTTTTTGCACAAAATGGCTGAACATTTAATAAGGTCTTACATTAGGTGTGGCTTCCCGAAGTCATGAAGAAACACAGAGCTAGCCTAAAATACCACCACAGAAGAAAAGAAATGCTTCATTCTAACGCAACAGATGAGTTACTCTTCGATTCAATATTTCTTTGCTCCACTACTATTCTGATCTGCTAACAAAGTATACCAATATTGTCTGCTATGGGACATCCTGCAAATAGAAGCTAAACGCTACCTAAAGGGATAATCAGACTGCCTACAAAGAAAGAAACATCCATCTGCTTAGTATAAGTCAACCATCGAGCACAATCTACAGCTGTGGTTTATCGACTACTTCAAGTGAATGTAAAGTCAATGCTGCTCGTAAGGAGGGAACTCCCTTTTATTCCCAGCCCCTCCCAGCCAAAACTGGGTGTTTTGACAGAAGGGATGCTGTGAAAAATAAACTGAAAATAAAGCTTAAAACACAAACACAGCAGCTTTTATCTCCATCTTGCAATACAGCTGCACACACAATGGTGCCAGCACAAGGGAAAGGGACAGTTTTGTGCCATCAGCTTTCTTGGCAGTAGCCTGCACTTTCATCAACTTAAAACAATTCTCAAACAACAGTCTGATTTTTAGTTTTTTTCAAAAGCCTTAATTAATCTGCAATCAGGAGAGGGTAAGAAGATATGCAGCAGATTAAAGTAAATGTTTTAGAAGAAAGTAGTATAAATAAAACTTGGAGTAGTCAGTGTGCTTAGTATCTGCATATACAGTGTCCTTCCTTTAGTAAAAGCCTGACTTTCACATCACCCTCCAAGTCCTTCTCGAGCAGCAACAGCTTAGTAGCAGCCCCACAGCCAGATATGGAAATGACATATCCCTTCATGGCAGCCATCCCTCAGAACCAATGCTCAATACTTTGGTCACTCCAACTTCTTCAGTACAGCAGTTATTTTTGGGGGGATTTGTATTTTTATTTTCACTAAGCCAGCACAAGTGACTTTTAACAGTAAGTCACACAGGTGAATTCAGTGTGGCTGAACTCCTCTCAGTAACAACCTGTCAGGTGAATTCCAGTACCCATGGCTGCTGCAGATTTCACCTCTGTTTTTCATTTCAGGCAACTTTAAGTCCAGAAGCTATATGGCTAGATTCAAAGCCAGATGCATCTGTATGACATATACTTTGGAGCTACTCATTCCAGCAAAAAAAAACATAGTGAAAGACTTGCAGCAAAAGCCAGAAACAGTGCATTTGCTGCCCCCAATCTCCTTACCCCTCCTCTTTTTTTTTTTTTTTTTTTTTTTTTTTTTAAAAGTAAGAGCACATAGAGCTGAATAACAGGTCACATTGCCAGGTACAGGAGTGCTGCACTTCGCATGATATGCCATGCCAAGCAATTCTCAGTTTGGAGCTGCCCACATTTAATATGCCTTCAGTGGCTGCAAAAATAGGAAGACAAGGATTACAATAGCATCAGGCAAAGCACTATGTCCACAATATTAAAGCAGGGGGATTTTAGTCTTACTTTATTAATTTCTTGCCTCCATGAAAGAGTTCTTTTTGCCTTTACCAGCCCTCTACTGACACTATTGCGAGAAGAGTTAAGTTCCTACTAACATCCCAGCTTAGCCCAGTCAAAACCAGGGCTACTTAGTCCCGCTGAAATGAAAGAATTATTCCTAATTTTCACTGCACGATGTATCAAAACTCCTCTCAAAACTCTGTGAAGAAATCCTCAGTGTCCCCTAGCATTGTTCTTCATACAGCCAGGCACTAACTCAAAAATTTCCAGGCTTCTTTCTTCCTTTTATGAAACTACCTCAGAAAGACAGACTCAACTAGGTCATCCTTCAATACAATATACATACTAACTAGCAAGCTATCCCTTAAGACTATCCTCACCAATTATGCTGGTTATAGCATAAAAAGAAAATTTCCCACTATGTAAAACAGAAAAATATGATCCATTGTGCTTTTGAATTCTGTAATAATCCAACTCAAAAGTCCAGAAATAAAAGCACAGCAACTAAGCCGACTGATTTGTGATAGTTTGTTTTGAACAAATAAGAAATTGAGTAACCTAAGCTTTGGAAAAAGAACAGAGCTTTCAAAGCTAGTGAAAAACAAAATACCCTTCCATTCAAATAAGTCAAGTTTGTTAATATTTAAAGAAATTTCATCACTAGCCAAAATGCAAATCTTTCTAGTAAATCTTGCATTGTTCTATGATAAAGTAGGTGAAAAGGTACAGCAGAAAAAAGTTCACCTTAAAAACAGGACTACGGGTGAAAACTCCTATTGCAGCCTCATACACTGTTGGTAAGTTTAATAAGACTAGGTAAGTCACAGACTGACAGAAACTATCTGAAGAACCGTGCCATAAACAGGCTGCAGTGACAAATGAAAAACTTGCTCAAGATTTTCAAGGTCTTTCAGGTAAAGCGAGGACTCCAAGAAGCACATAAAGTAAGTTGAAGGCTGCAGAAACAAAGCATTTCCCCCCTACATTTTGCATTTCCCTGAGTGTTATTGTAAGACTGTCTTGCACAGAGAGTTAATGCGACCTTTGAAGATCTTTCAAAGATGCAGACATTTTTAAGCATTCCATTCCAAGGCATGCAGGGACTTCAGCAAGACGACAGTTATGGTGGTGAAGAGCCAATGGCTGTATCAGGACTGAAGCTCTGTGGATTCATCATTCCCTTGTTAAGGCATGATATGGCAAATCCATAAAAATAAACTGTTGCAAGTATGCCTGTTAAGACTATCAGTCCAACTAAACCGGTAACCAGCAACATTCATGACCAAACCTGTCGATTTCTGGAAGACTTCGTGCTGGATACAGACAGCTGTTACACACAGAATTAGGAAGGCTGAATAGTGCCAAGCGTCATGAGAAGTTTCAAGACTTCAGGGAAAATATTGCTGAATTTCTAATATAGTACATTCAAGCAAGCACTGCTTGTCTGAAATAGGAGTTAAAAGTATTCCACCCTTTACTGATTACTTTACCAGCATTACCACATATCTCATCAGGCTGAACTTATACCTGCAGAGTGAAAAGTTAATTGGTTTTGTTCTTAACACGTTAGCTTTACAATCAATGGGTTTTCAGAATGACATTGTCAAACACTACCGAAAAAGATTACAGAGCTGCCCAAAAGATGGGAACAAATTAATTCAGCAACCTTTGAACAAAGTAACTCAGCAAATTTAAACACCTCTTAGCTCATCTTTTCAACAGATATATTCTAAATTAATTCAAAGCTTAGTAGCCAGCACACTTACTTTCAGATAAATGAAAAATGTTAAAGAGTGGACTCTTTAAAGAAAGTTGTCTCCCACTACAGGGCCACTGAAGCAAAAGACAGTCATTCTTGTGTATTGAATCAGAGCAGCCAAACTGGTTTAACCAAAAATATTAATTTAATATAACCAAATATATTGTGAAATTTAAGGACAGCACATGCCTCTTAAGGATTTTTCCACAAAAAAATTATTTCACTGGAAAGACTACCTGCAACATTCTTGTTTTTGTTAGCACTGTAGAGTTTAAAGACAAAAAGGATTCAAAAAGCACACTCAGATTAACAGTAATCTGACTTTAGTCCCTGACTTCAGACAGGCCCTCCGTGTGATCTTGCGTAACATATAGCCTATGATATACAGAATAGCCTATCCTATACATCAGGCCACCAACATCTGTGCAACAGGAGAAACCACCTCCCATTTCCCAGTAAAATGGTAAGAAGAGGTTTTTAAAACAGGGAGGTATTCAAACTTTGAAGCAATAAAATTAGATAGCTAGACAAACATAAAATTGCAGTCAAAATTGTCTTCAAGGAGATGAGCTTTTCAAAGGCACCTCAAGCATACTAGTCGCACAGAGATTTTTCACCTGCACTCTTATCCTCTATTATTCAAGAAAGCTGAAGAAAGTTCACCTTACCATCGGATGCTTACCTTCAAGCTCCCCTTTTGGGATGTGAAGCATACATCATACCAAACTATTTGGTTATTCTAGCATATAGTATTGAAAAATAGTTGAACTACAGGCCAAAAAGGATCACAATTACCTTGGCATGCTTTAATTCCAGTTCTGCTAGTTCTACTAGATTTTTTCTGAATGCTGCAACTCTTCTTGTCTTAAAGTCTATCAGTTCTGTTTAAAATAAAAACGGGTTCATTAACAGTATTATTGCTAGTGCCCTCAATTGTTAACAGACTTTCTTTCAGACTGGATGGAGTAAAGGGTAAGAGAAGGCAACAGGAAAAACTCAAATTTAATCTCAGCATATCTGAGGCTCACACATATTGCTACACTGTTAGATAAGAAAGTAAAACATCACTGCAGTTCCTCATCTCTACCTAACCTTTTGTGGCCACAAAGCTCTTTTGAGATAAGACTGCAGTGTGGATGCTTTTAAACACTAAATCCTCCTCTACCATACACACTGTTCTTGCAGGGCTAGTATGTGAAAGGCTCTAGGGAAGATACCAGGCTAAAACTAGCACCAAAAAACAGCAGAAGCAAGTATGTTTTACGCATTCACCTTTGCCACTAACAGGATCTCTGATCCTCCACTGTCTCATTTACAGAAATCATTAGCTAGATTTACAAGGTCAGAGAATTCTTAACTGATAAAGGCAGAAAAAAGGTGGTGGCTAAACATTGCACAAATCTGCCCCAAATAATGAGTCAGATGTCTACTTACTCATAACAATCGTAGCCTAAAAGAGAGGAGTAAGTTTCCAGGAAAGAGGCAACATACAAATAGGTTCCTCTTCTCTAGAGCTACTGTAAGTCTGCATCGTCAGTGAAATCTCATTTCATGATTTCTCCCTCTTCTAATCCCGTATCATTTGCTACAGACTGCTACCCTCACAGAATAATGCATAAAACCAAAAGGGCATTTCAACAGTGCTCGAAAAGATTAGGTTTGCCTTTACTGCTAGCAGTTTTCCTTTCCCTGCATCTAAAAATGCATTAACAAATAATTTGTATCTACACATTAAGGGAATCCTGCCAAGAAATTATGACATTTATATTATCACCTAATGGAGCTATCAGGAATCAAAGGAAAACATGGCACAAGCTTTCCCAAATAAGCAAATACTGATTAAAAGGTAACAGTTCTCTGCTTAGAGATCACAGAACAAAAAAAATCTCTTCCTATTAATGGTGTCTTCAAATCTGTTAATTTTCAAATGGCAACACAGGATAAAAGACTACTCCAATACCTTGTTTTGCAGATTCAGATATTTTCTCAAATTTCTGACAGCATATTTGCTGAGTGGTTTCAGCTTGCAACACATCTTTGTTTTTTGCTCTTGCTTTATCCAATGCCTTATTAGCATTTTCATAATCCACTAGTGACCTAGATCTTCTATACAGGAGATCCTATTAAAAAAAAAAAAAAAAGTGTAAAGGATGTTTAGTCTACCAAGAATCCACCCTAGGGTTTTAGTAGGTACCAAGCCATCTAAAAACATGCAGTTTAATTTTAGTCTTTCTTGTTGAAATCATTTTTAGTCTTGCTGTCTTTCAGTTATTACAGAATTATTTACATCCCATGAAAGTCACAAGAATACCTGTTCTGCATCAGACAAACAATTTAATATTCTTTGGTCTGCATCCTGTCTGACAGAGGCTAGCACCAGATGGCTTAGACAATGCTGCAAAAAGCCTAAGAAAAGATAATCATGGGAAATTTCATGGCTTCTCAGGTTAGAATCAAATTACTATTTGGATTATGGATGTGAAATACACATGGGGCCTTAGAAACAACACTCGCCTTCTGAGGCCTTTGAAACAACATTCATCTTTCCTGTGCAACAGCTATTGCTGTGATCTTCTAACTACAAAACATTTTTTGTCAATCGATCATCTTCACTCAAGCAACTCCTTAAGAATAAAATTTACTCTAAGTAAAGGATCTAAAATTTGGCCCATGTTTTTATATCAGCACTTGCAGAGCCTGACCTGAAATAAAGTATCTATTTTAAATATTAAAAATAGTATAAATGCTTGTAGTCTACAAGCAGCTTTAACAATTCATCAAAC